GTTACAATACTCCGTGTATATCATCGTAATAATATAATATATTAATAATATTATATTTAACTGCCTCCGTGGCCCAACGGTTACCATGCCGGACTGCCACGCAGAGGTCCCAGGTTCGATTCCGGGGCGGGGAGAAATATTTGTATGGCCTACAATTATTCGCGAGTTTGGGTGTAATTTGTAGTTGTCTATGTGTGTGTCCATGGTACCCGCGACACAGGGTTTCCCTAGTGCGGTGCTATGTTGAGTGTGTGCGTTATTTATTTATTATTATTTATTCCATAATAAAGAAGTATAAGCAAACCCCCTCCGTCATCGCACCTCTGAACGGTCACTATAAATAACACGCGCAGCTCCAGCAAGGAGGCCTTTTTTCTATTGGCGCGCCGAAGCTTTGTGGTTATAAAACTGTGAGATTTTAGTTAATATGATTAATTAGTGTGGGTACGCAATCTTTGTAATCCAATACATTTAAGTGTAAGTGCGCTGTTTTGCTTTAGTTTTAATTTTTGTTGTTAAAATTGTCGATAAAAAGATAAAAATATAGTCAGTTACTATATCTCTCCTGGTTTCCTTAAAACAGTATATCAATTTAAAAATAAATACTGACAGAAAATTATAAAACCGTAATGTTGATTTCATTGATTTGTAATGCTGAAGATTAATATATTATAAATATGCTACTCGTATGCGTAATAATGACCATGAGCGTACTCCGAGTGACCCAGAAAATTAGATACTCTCGTGTAATATTAATAACACTTGTTTCTTGATATTTGAGAATGCTTCTTTAACTTAAGAAGGTGTTTTTAAACCTCCGCAACCATGCCAGTGGTATAACCTATAGGAGACCTATGTGAAGCAGTGGAAACTACCTAAACATATTCGGGTTGTTTTAAAAAGTGTGATAAAACTTTAGGAAACCCATACAAACATTCCACAAATAATCATAAAACATGCTTAATACTATGACTTTACGTCTTAATAAAACTTTGGTACAATAAAATAATCTTACCTTATACTTCAGCAAATACAACTGGAAAACCAAAACAATATCTCTAAAACCACTCACTTAAATTCAATTTTCATTAAAACGTACAATTGCCGACACAAATCTAAATCAAAATGTCGAAATTCAGAAAAATTATTGAAAGTTCGAATGCGACAATGTTGTTATTCGTAAAACGTATACGTATCGGGGAAGGCTTCGCCGCCCAGCGTGCGTTTCTCAGGGCGGGCGGATAACAACTGGCTGTATAGCCCTGCATTTTGCAATTGCAAAAGAAAAGTATACCTTACTACCATGTTTGTTTACTTTATTTGTTAGTCAAGCTGGTTATAGGTAATTTACTTTATTTTTTAACGTGTTTTAGACACGATTCTGTCACAAAGAGAAATATTGTAATTATTAATATCTAATACAATCTATTTTTGTTTATGCGATAAGATAAGAAGATAAGACAGTTGCTTTAGCTGTACTTAGCACAAGTCCGGTCGAGTGTGGAGTACTGCTGCCGCATATGAGATGGCTCTGCTACATACCAACTGGTCACCTTGGATTCAATCGACAAACGTGTCAAGAGGCTTATAGGTGACTCGGAATTAGTAGAGGCGAAACTGCAGAGCCTTTAACACCGCCGTAAAGTTGCCTGCTTATCGGTATTCTACAGGATATATCACAGAGAGTGTGCGAAGGAATTGCACGAATTAATTTCGCCTTCCCTTTCCTTCTGAACTAGACGTAGGCTTGAGTTCCACTCCTACGATATTGCAAATATTCGTGCGAAGCGTTATGCTTCCATATTTATATGAATAACGGCTATGGAGTGGAATTCTCTGCCTGCAGACTTATTCCCTGAACGTTTTAAACTTGGGCCTTTTGAAGGCAAGAGTGAATAGGCATTACTTAGCTGTGCATGCTCCATCGTCGACCTCATCGTCACTTTGCATCAGGTGAGACGGAGATCAAATGCGAATACAAAAGGAAAAGATTTTTTTATAGTACCAAGTGACGAGACGAACAAGCCTGCGCCTGCGCCGAACTCTTTCACAAGGAGCTTTACTGCTACTAAAGATGACATGATGCAACAGGCGAACTTATCACTAAGTAACAATGTATTTAAAACAACTCTGAAATAACAACACGAGTGTGCTTATGTAGTTTCTAAGATTAACGTTTATCCTAAACGTACAAACGGTATTTGACTGAATTTAATTTCTTGATAAAATACATACATACATACGTATTTTAAGCAGTTAACGCCTTAGCCTTCGTATACCCGCGTGATATTCTCTCAGACCGACGATTACCGTTGGTCGTGTGTTTTTCCGAATCCACATTTTCCAGCAGTTTTAGTAGGCATGACAACTGAAAAATTACAGTGACGGGCACCCGTCTATTACGTCACGGCAGTCACATCTTGCCCCGAGAGCATAACTCTACAGTAGTACACCCAAACTCAGGTGTGGGAGGGAATATAAGCTCTCCCCAATGGACCGAAATAGAGCGCGTTACATTAAATTTAGTACAACGCCATCTCTCGGCGGTGTGCGTAGCTAGCAGCTACGGAAACGTCACAGCTTGGGTCTCACTGCTCGTTGCAGGGGTCGTGGCTACCTTCATTTTAGCATAACGCGGGTACAGGTGTCACAGGTTTAGGTAATTAATATTTTTAGTAATTCCCATAGATATGTATTAATTTTAATTATAATCGAGTCTACCGTATGTATTATATTTGTAAATAATTATATTAAAAAATATGAGAAGGTTTTTGGAAGAGGATGACTCTGATTCCAATATGAGGGCGAAAATGAATGTCTTTCAGGAACATATAGAATCGCAGCAAGTAAGAAATGACACAAAGCAGGAGATTCTAGATTATTACCTAGGCCAAGATAGTCAAATTAAGTAAAATAAAAATGCTCCATCGATGACAGCAAGAAGTATTTTTGACCAAGATATATTTTTGAATGTAACATGCTATTTAGTTTATGGTTTCTAAAATTTTATACACTATTAATTGTATAACTTTATATAAAATATTCTTTGACATTTGAGAGTTTTTTTATGTTGATGCTATAAAAAGTATATTTTTGTACAAGTTTTTGAGGAGAATATTCTAACTTACCTATGGCTGTAATAAAACACTGCTCATCTCTAATATTACATATATTACATATTCCTGTCTAATATATAATTTAATTATACGATAATATTTTACAAAACAAGATATTAAAATGGACCTAACACTTTTTGGCCTCACAGACCGTGCGCGGGTATACGAACGTTAAATTTAAACTCAACTCTATACGAATATAAATAAGAACGATCTCATCCATCCATCCAAAGTCCAGTAAGATTGTTGTACTGACAATCGTGCTGGTTATATCTACAACAAAGCCTTTGCAAGAAACTCATTATTACACTAATTTCGAAACTCTATACAGCCACGACACTCCAAGTACATCGCAACAAAAGAACATACAATCCACGGCGATTTCATTTCTCATTGTACACTACACAACACAGCTTCATTCTTCCTCCGTTCCTTTGTCAAAGCAACATGGGGTAAAGCAAAATGTTATAGACGAAAAACTTCTGTTATTGACTGTATAAGAAGAAAGCGAATCGTTTGAGCAGCGTTCCATTAGTGGACTGTCACCGCCGAACGCTCAAAAAGTAAGAAGAAAGAAAAAAAGGAAAGAATGGCACAAAAAAGTTTTCCTACAGATATACATCAGGGAACGATTTCCCGTTTAACCGTGCGATTGTCGACCTACTTATGTTCAGTGTTCATGGCACATGAAGTTTGGTTCAGGGAATATTCGCCACTTCTTTACGACATTTTTGGTTTGCTACGACGGTTAACGGCTAGTTTTAATGTGTGTGATAGCGGATGACGTAAATACTAAGTGTATTAAATACAGACTAAATTATTTGCTATATATAGTCCATATTTGTTTAGGTACTAAACTAACTTCGGGCCCTTTACAGGTCCCATGGTCACGGACCTGTAAATAGCTTGAAACTTTGTTTGAAAAAACAATATACGCGATTTAAATCCGGAAAAATATTTTCATTTCCTATGTGCAACAATTGCGAAAACCATTCATTACACACCCGTATTTCACTAAATAAAGTATAGGGGGACGTTATCGGTCGTCCACTTGAACGGTAAACTACTTTGAGTTAATAAAGGAAAAAGAAAATGCCACGTTGTTATTGTAAGAGCTCAAGTTTCAAGACAACAGGTTAGCGTTTATTACGCCGACGAGAGCCAAGAAATAGTATTCATCGTGGTTTATGTTGTAAGATAATTGAAAAGTAGAAGAGGGCCAAGTTCTATCGTGTTAGGAGGCTTTGGAGGTGATAAGGAGCTACGAAATTAAAGGAAAGAAGAATTACTAGGTCAATAATACTTTTGTATATTAAAAAAAGAAATTTTAAAGTGTTAGATTGTAGTAAAAGAAATGCCAAATGTCATTGTTGAATTATTTAAATATAGACAGAAAGTTAAATTAATCTGATTTATATTTGTGTCCTCCTGACGAGGCCTACGTTGCGGATGGGTATAATTATGTACCTAAACAATTTAGTTTTTCAATTAATTGAATTGTATTTAGTTTTTGAATGAATAAATAATAAGTTGTGAAATAATGTGTAATTACTAGGAGCGTTTCCTAGGAGCGGGTAATGACAGATCAAGATGATAAGGAGTCCGTGGTTTCATACTGCACTACACTTCACAACAAATGACATTGTTATGTAAACCAAAGTACGTATTACCTAATGTTTTTATTTGCAGGTCCGCGTCAGTTAATCCGACAGCCGGTCAGATATACAGAGCTTAGTAAGTTAGGTCAGAACTGGTTGGGTCTGACTGATCGGTTAGCTCTGGTCTTATAGAACCTTCAAAATTGATAGCTACAGGAGATATGGGGAGGATCCTGCGAGTCCTGGGAATGCGTGCCGATGCCTATACATCAATGTGGTGCGTTCAATGGCGCTGTACGTAACACTAATTTCGGCGAAAGATTTGAACGCCCGCAACCTGGCTATGCTGCAACGTCCTCAGCGAACTATTACACTTAGAGCGTATCGCACTATGTCGCATACAGCGCCGTGTTTGCTTGCCGGTAGCGCGTCGTGGTATCTCGATGCCGAGGTACTTGCGGCGGCATACTGGCGACGCAAAGAGGCGAGAGATCGTAATGGCTCTCCCCATTCGCTAAAGATTGAGTGATGGAGAGAGGAGGCCAACGAGGAAGTCGTCTGGAAGTGGACCGAGCGACTGGGAGTTCCGGGGGTTAGCCGGGAATTGGTGGTCGCAAGTCGACCCATCCTTAAGGATTAGGTCGAGAGCAAACACAGAGTACGTACGACGTACCGATGTACAACCTGATGCAGCTCGTTAGCGAGGTACGGATGCTTCAGCAAGTTCCTGTGAGCATGCCACCATTGCGGAGGAGCGGCGGACACCGCTCATCATACGCACGAAGAGTACCCAGCTTGGGCGGAGCCTCGCGCCACGTTGTCCGCTGTAGTTGGGGCAGACCTATCGCAGCCAGGCTTAGCACAAGCCGTGGCTGAATGGAAGGCGGTCAGTACCTTCAGTGGTGCCGTTGTGGTGCTGAACAAAGCAGCAGAGAGGGAGCGGGAAGACCGCATGCAGCACCAAGGGGGACTAACGGGTAACAGATCGGGCAGTCTATTACAGGTAACAACGAAGAGTTTCGTATTGGAAGGGGTCTCTGGTGTTCCGGGGCGTCTACAGCAGAGAATGGAGTAGGTTCGCCATATCCAGTGGAGGGTAGGGTAGGTTCGCCATATCCCATCGCATACAGAATTAAACCCCATGACGCCAAGGTGGAATTTCGTAGGGTATAAATGGGTAGTACCCATTAATTTTCTTATACAAGAGTCTGTGTAATGTCTTTTACATTTTCTCCAGAAGCAAGGTGTACACATTCTCATGAGGGTTCCAAATTACTGAAGTCGTCTCAAGTTTACTTGCGACTAGAGCTGTGTAAATTACTTTGATAACCCTAGGATCATGAAAACTAGTTTTGTGGAAAGGGGTAACACCGACGGTACCACAAACACACAGACCCGAAAAAATATAGAAACTTTAGTTCTAGTATCTCTCTATTTTATCTACACCATGAAAAGAGGTGGGCTTTATTTCTTAAGCAATACCGTTTCGAAAAATGTTCAATTACAAAGGCCTTAGATAGTTTGCTATTAAATACCGGAAATGGTACATGTCTATAATGATTTATTACATTATTTATGTCAGTACTAAAGAGAAGTACATAACAGTTAGGTTAGGTTTTAAGCGTGCAAACGATTAATAGGAAAAACCCAATGGAACAACCGTAGAATCGTTATACGCAGTAACTGAAATCATTTCAACCAAGTAATCAGTAGGCATTAGAAGTTCCCTAAAGAATGCAAATCTCGTACACTTGCACCGGTAATAAATCGCGGGTATATTTTACGGGGGCCTACTTAGCCGAGCTCGTAAATCTGCACTGATTGGAAGGCAGTCGATGCCGGCCTTTTCGGGACATTTGTTCGGAATTCCTAATGCGGTTTTTCTTACATTAATATGATTGGAATTGGCTAAGGAATACTTCGACCACATAGCTTTTTGGATTTTATTATTTGAATTTGGATCTGATTATGTTTTTTGGAATTGTTATTAGTAATTGTTATTTTTTTATGATACTAAGGGCGCGTTCCCATCATGTCGTACGTTTTATTTACCGTTGGATCTCTATATCGTATCTGTCGTGACTGTGTCGTGGACGTTTATATTATCGTTGAACTAGTGTTGTTCTAGCTCTTCCTATTATCACGACAGTCTGTCGTCGTAACGTCAAAAAAGTCGTGAACGACAGTTAATCGAGTAATTTTACATGTGAACAAATTCATTCAAATATACAAAGCACGACATATTACACTGCACGACTACCTGACATCACGACATAATGGGAACGCGCCCTAAGTGATGGGACGAATAAGTCGTGCGCCTGGTGGTAAGCGACACGCCTATCCATAGGTTCTGCGACAGATGTGGCCAGCCTACTACCACTGCAGCTTGGTACATTTCTGGACGATGTCCACAACTTTAGTCTTATAACTATATATAACTTCGTTAATAACTTCGTCGATAACTTCGTTCCGGACTTTGTTCCGTAACGAGATACCCAGCATGGACCTTTTCATAGCTCGCTGAGAGAGGTGTAGTCTGTGAGCCAGTTTGACCGTCATATTCCACGTCTCGGCTCCGTAAGTCATGACTGAGGACGCATTGCATTGCATGCTGTTATACATGAAGAAAAAAAGAAAGAAACAAACAAACGTTAATTCAGCTTAAGAAAATTCAAACAAAACAGATAAAACAAATTAATGATTACATACATATACCCTATAAGCTGAAACGGATCCATCTCAGCATATGTTACAGCTCGCCTGCTGTAACGCTGGTTTTCAATTGGAACCGCTTTTACAAGATATGATGGCACGTAAGTACTAGAGTGGTAACATTAAAATTATAAAATGTAACTTAAATATTACTAACCGCTCACGCGATGCGCTCCTCCTACCGCAAAATGGCGGCTATTTGGTTTCACAAATTAGAAAAGCATTCAGTTTAAATACAAGTTTTTATAAATAAAAATTATTATTCTGCATTGCTAAATAAATACCCTCCGTACTACCAACAAAAACATCTCAAATAAAATGCAGTAATACACCGCAAATCTTGCACTTAAAAAGCACTAATGAAATTTTTGGTGTACTTGGATAAATATGATAATATTCCGTTTGAGTGGTTCTAACGTTTACCATGAAATTACTCCTTAATTAAAGTATAGTTTATAAACATTTATATTCAGGGTAAACTTAAAAAACACTACTTACGGTATGTTTTCAATAAATAAACATCGAAATCACCAGCCCAAACAATAACACACACGATTGTCGTGACGTATTTTTGAAGTTGTTTATTTTTTTTTAATGACAGACCCAGGCATTAAAAACTTTATGGTTTGCTAGAGTAGTTACCGAAATAGCAATTAAGATTCGTTCTTTTACCTGTTATAACTTCGATATCCGATAAATCGGTATAAAATCATCACCGGCACCTCTAGGTGTGGTATGCGTCTACGGCCGCATGTATCGCGTGAGCGGATAAACTTGAATTCAATGTGTATGAAATAGTGCACTTCATCATTATCATATCAGCCGGAAGATGTCCACTGCTGAATATAGGCCTCCCCCAAAGATTTCCAGACCAGCCGATCGGACGCGACGAGTATCCATCGGTTACCCGAAATAATACATTGCTAGAATATGTCTTTGTTGATTCACAGTGCCGCAAAACACTTGAAATGCATTGAAAACAAATTAGATTGTTGAAACAATCTTTGTGTATTGAAAATGTACTGTTTTCTTTTCACATTTTCAGAGGAACTATAATTGGCTACCTGCGCTTGAGTTGCAACTTTCCTATATAAATCGAAATTCAAAAATTCCACTCCACTACCTATAAGCTCGAAGCTGAAAACGGAACGTTTTGATCAAAACCTCAAAGCAATATGAGCACCGATATGAAGGAGATGTCAACCAAGAATGTAATATTCAAGGTTTCAGAACAAATTGATTTTTACAAAATTGAGCGACTTACCTCAAGGGAATAGCGACATGTGAAGTCTGATTTCATTTTCCGTGGATATTTTACCGAGTTCGCGTCAAATGATTGAGTTTGACGTCATCAGCTTGAATAATAATGGTTGATGATTAATACCATATCCTGTAAAGAACCCAAAATGTGGTTATATTTGAAAAAACAAATATAAGCAATTTAGATCTGAATAAACTATAATCTCATCACAGAGTAAAGAGTAAAAACCGACCTCAAAAGTTTGTGGAGTTACATCTATTTGCCAAGATTTATTGCAATCAGTTACAGGAAAATGCGCGATACCGGATTCATCCCCTAGTTTGTCACACTTAGAAATGGAATATTATCTTGAAATTTAAATGGGACCTCTACTGAGGCACCCTATTTCCAACAAAAAAATAATTATCAAAATCGGTTTACAAATGCCGGAGTTATCGCGTAACGTACTGTAGACTAGGCTGTACTCTTTGAGTAGAATTGCTGGCTGAACATAGGTAATGATTATAGTTTGTATTTAGAATGCTTTCGAAGAAATGAAATAAGTAAGAAAACAGAAGATCTTGACATTAAGGATATTAAGATTATTATTGATTTGTAACCCTAGACATGAAAATGGTAAAATAAACCAAAGTTTTAAGATGATCCCGGTTTTATATTATTAAAAGTACCTCTCGCACTGCATCTGAGCTACAGCCCTCTATTATAGTACCTACATATAAAAAAACACGGTCGAAATTGAGTACCTCTTCCTTTTTTTTGAAGTCTATGAAAAAATAGTTTCATTTGTCAATCGCGAAAACTTTACAACTTGACATTAAGAAAAATGAAAGGACTTTTTCATAGGATTCAGGATTCACGTCTCGTGGCTACATTGTTTTTAGTTTTTACTTTTAAGAGAGCTTCTTGTGATATTACATCCTTTATCAGTTTTTTTAAAATACTTTCATAGATACATATAACAGTAGAGTTTACGTAGTAGCAGGGTGGGTGAAATTACAGGCACATGGGACTTGTCAATTTATGTCTCAGGGTGATGGCCACAGTGGCAGTGCCCCTTAGACTTTTGCAATTTAAAGCTCTGTGTACCACTGCAACTGCAATGGAGAGGCGTGTTACTTATCAACAGGATCAAGAGTTGCTCGTCCCGCCATTTAGTATTATACAAAAAAATCTTACTAAGTCTATTTTAAAGTATTTTATGTTGTCACCATGAAACAATGCACCCCTTGCTTGATGGGTCTTCTCTAAGAAAGAATCTATTATATACGGTATATCGAAAAGGTTAGTGTAATGAAAGTGTCCATGAATCTGAATAAACAGATATTTTTGCTGCGATATTTATGTTGGGAAAGACGTAATAAACTTGACCAAAAAATAATTGCATTTCGAGTTCTTAGGTTGACAGTCAACCGTGACCATGGGACCTGTAAAGGGCCCGAAACTTCGGTTTGTTTGAAAAAACAAATATACGCGACTTAAATCCGGAAAAATAGTTTCATTTCCTAAATAATTACATTTTTGACTAAAGTTGTTAAATTTTTTATTGAATTGATATTCAATTGTTTTTTATGTCAAATTACTGCACAAGTTTGTTATAATTATTAATACAAAGATCAAGAAAACATTCCCTCGATCCGGCCGGCTAAAAAGTTGTTGAAAAACCAAATACAAAGATACGACATTGTTAATTATATTACGACTTTTTAGCTCGTAAAAATTCGTAAGGTCCGCTGCCGCTGGTTCGTTCTGTTTCTTAGTTGGCATAACGTATGGCACGGTTTGCTAGAAGACGTCGATTCGAATCCGGCCGGATCGACGGAATTTTTTCTAAGTGTTCGATAATTATAAAGTTGTACAGTTTGATATTTATAACTTTGCAGAAAGATCAACGTCTTAATCGTTCCAAAACCAAGCATCACTTGCTGTTATGTCCACGAGGATGTTCGTAATACCACCCACATCCTTGCCACGTCAGTCTACACAACAAATCGCTTTGAATTTCACACAATGTCCCGCTAAAATACATCGTGAAATATTCGCATTTCACAATGCTCCTTTTGCAGTGACAAGAATATCTCCTTACTTGAAGACGCTTGCGGCTA